CATCCATGACATAGACTCGAGGTTGAAGCAGTGTGTATCGAAATCGGATGAATAATCTCCTTCAGAAGGGTGTCGACATGAATGTAGAAACTTTGGAAATGTTATTACGCAGCATTTTCCCGAGTTGCACTTCAAGTGGAGCAAAGGATTTAATGGTTTTTTCTCATTTTTATCTATCAAGCATCATGCACATCTTTCACCTGCTCAATGATGAATTCAGTGCATAGGCGGAATGGACGAAAAGATTCTGTTAGGTATTCGTTCTGGATCAACACATACGGCGATCTCTAATTCATCATTGGGGTTTTGGTCATACTGCTTTGTTTTTGCTTCCTTTATGAACTGCCTCTAACAGCATTTATTTATTTAGAAATAGGTTCGATTAGTCCGTATGATGTAGAAATTGCTCGATGAAGAGGCTGAGTATATCTTTCTCCACAACATTTCGCCATCGTTTCGTGGATATTCCCCTATTTTTTCGATATTGATATTATGTTGATAAGTTATATTTAGTGTGAATTAATCACATTTGTTTCATAAGTCTAACTTCTTTAGTGCCAGAAGATGAGTTGCTCAGTCTACCAATACATGACTGCAAATATTATGAAATCTGAATACTATGCAAGAGTCAGCAGTTTGAATAGTGCTGATATTGTCAGCTGTATATCATATTGTTCAGTTAAAATAAAAATATTTAAAGCCACAGAAACTCCAGAACAACAAAGTGCGTATTATAATCGATGTTATATAAATTAAGCGAACAGTCTTTCTGCTTTCTTTTTCTTTACAACTGTTAAATGATAACGCTATGTTTAGAGTTGTTTAATGTTTAACAGGTTTCTGTCAGAGAAGGGATGTCCTGAATTCTTGTTCACTGCTGCTTCAGCGGTTGCTGATTCGAAAAGTCAGCGAGCGAGAAATGGCATCACTAACTTTAGGTACGTTTCGATTCGTGCTGGAAACAGCACGTAGTGTGATACTCGGTGTTTAGCCTTCATGACTCTCAACAGACTGGACGTTTACACTGAGTAGACAGGATGTGAATTAATTTTCCGCCAAGCAGGTTTTATTGACTTTCTGTACCTTTCGTGTCAGGAATTATTTAGTGTCCATGCCGCCCACTCTGCAAGTTCTTTTCATTCAACTGCGTAGTATGACGACGTTATGATCACTAGCGCCGGAAAAGTTTAGACCGTGCGTAAGTAATGACAGACCGACAGGATACTTGCAGGCCAAAGCAAGCATGCTCTTAAATTTGCTACATGTCGAAGTCGGTGCCAAGAATTGTTACGTTTTTATATCTTCGCGATTGTCGTTCTAACTGTTCTGGCCAGAAAAGAATTTAGCTGATTGTGAGGTCGAGGTATTTGTGCGAGGCGTGGGCTTACAGCCGGCAGTCGTCTACAGCTGAAGTTCAAATAACTGGCTAACTGTTACCTTACGAGCAAACATTTTTTTTCACCAATCTTTTGTGTCCGTTTCACTAGCAGTGGACCTCACCATCTCGTACTGGTCGGTAGTTATGAGCCATTTTCTATTTTAATGTCTTATGGTCACTTGGACTTTCGTAACATCCATTCTGTCACTGTAGTCGTCTGTCGAGACATTGTCATATCATCTGCCTCTAGCTTGTAAGAGACGGCGTAGTTTAATGATGTCTACGCCAAAATTCAGAATGCGTAAAATAATACTTTCGCAGATGCATAACTTAGCGTTATGGGCGATATTTCGTCGTCATGGCAGCCTACTTATGGCACAGTCTTTAATTTCCACCATCACCAATAGCGAGAGTACTGCCTGAGCAGAGAAGTACGACATCCTTTTTTTGCTTCCTCTCCAGAGGTAAGTGCAATGCCTTACATGAAATAACTGCATCACGTCTGGCCACAATACCGTCTGAGTATGAGTGCCGAAGCCCGAATATGCCACAATATCTTTCACGTGAAATATGAGTTCTGTAATGTGTGACAGAAGCGTTACTCTGTTCGTTCAAGCTTTAGTACGCTGCAGGCTCTCCAGATGCGTTGTTAAGCCATATTGTCAGTGTCAGGTAGTACGATTTAATTCGTAACGCGGCGTCCTAGCTAGGTGCTTCTCCTGTCATAAGGACATCATGCGATTGAGACACTTGATGTTTTCCTGTCAAGTCGCTACATATCATTCACTTCAGAATCACATTTTGTTCAGAAATGGAGGTCGCGCGGAAAGGAAAAATTAAGATTTGTAGCTATTAGTATATCGACCGCCTTTACATATCAGCAGTTGGCGCCATTTGTGGCAACGTTCATTCATAAAGCTTATGGCGTGGTTCTGATCACCATACGATGTAATAGGTCACGAGTGTCGTGTTTTTAAAGATAATATTTATGTAATGTTATATTATAATTCTGAAGACGGCGTGTTGCATCGAAATGCATCAGTGAGTAAAGTAAATAATATCACCCGTTTCGATGTTGCTCTGAACAGTGGATCGAGAAAAGAGGATTATTAATTCTTAGCCAATCAGGCAACAAAACGACCCTCTTTCCGCAGCTATATGAGCCTTTCTTCTCTTCACAGGGTTCGTCGATTTCGAGATGGCCTTCGACTAAGTCTATATCCCTTTAGTACTTGATTACTTGATTAGCCCGGGAATCGAAAAACGATACAGAGATCCCATTGGCGTGATATTCAAGAATGCAACTGCTAGTGTATGGCTTCTTGATAGCAGAAGCAAGTTAAAAATCTGAAAAGTTGTTCGACAGGGGCACGCAGTATCACAGAAATTATTCACTGCAGCCTTGTTGGGAAAATCAAGGACTGAACATAAATGGCAGTTTGCGAATGATATTCGGATCCTCTCATGGTTACTAGAAGAAGTCAGAAAAAGAATCCAAGAGTAGAACGACGCCAGCATAAAAGTAGGACTGAAAATAAACTTGAAGAAGACTCATGTCATGTTTAACAAATATACGTGACCGTGGATTTAATCTTGAAGAAACGAAAAATTCATCTGTGAGGTACAGCTCATCTCTGCAGCAGAGAACCGGCAATGTGAAACCAGCAAAGGAATAAAACTCGCTGAAAGCACTTTTGGAGGACCGAAAATGTTCTTCTCCGGGAAATTGCTGCCCTTCTGCTTGCAACGGGAAGTCTTCTATCAGCTTATGCTCAGAGTACCAACCTATGGATGCGAAATGAGAACCCTAAGCCTAAAAGCTATTCATAAATTGCAAAGTATGCAACACAGCACGGAAAGATGCGTTGGATATAACAAGAAAAGATAAGGAATCGAATGAATTTATAAGTGCACAAGTAAAAGTCTGCGATGTCGTTACCCGAACGAGGAAGCTAAAGAAAATACATTGCGAGAATAACCTAGGATCGCTGGACCAGAAAAGAAAACGGAAAGTTTGTAACCGTTTAAATGTCCGCTTCCTTACACTTGCATGTTGTGGCCATTTTTCGTCACTCTTCTTTTCATGAGTGAATGGTATTGGCGTTGATCTATCTCTCTCTTTCACTGACAGCATCCAGGAGTGCCTTATTTGTTTTAAAGGCAGAATCGACAGCAACTACCTGATAAGCATAGTCTGAATTCTCCTATTTCTTTCTCACCCATTTATCGACATCAGAAGGAAGAAAGGCGAGTGACCCCTATCAGGATTAGAACCCACGACCTCTTTTTTTAAGGTCGACGCCGTACCGACCGAGTAACCCCAGTCTGAAGTGATGCGTGGTAAATTCTAGGGATATGTGGTAAAGAAAAAGATTGCTCGCCTCGGGAATCGAACTCTGAACCTTCGAAGTCGACCTCTTTAAAAGGCATTAGACTTGGTTCCAAGGGGAGTAAATGGTCTTTAGATTAGCCTCTAAATCGATGCCAGGATGAGTTGAACAGAACTGTTAGATCTAGGTGGATGAAAATGGCGGAAAGCAGAAGTATACGATGAAGTCTTCAGGTCTTCAGTCGATGGAAATCTTCATCCAGCAGTGAATCGTCAATGGCGATGATGATAGTCTGCTATCAAATGGATCGTGGCAAAGTGCAGCCAAAGAGGCTCTCACATAGGACAACATAGCTTTATTTCTTTTCCATTATGTCATAATCAGTCCAAAATACCACTTTGTCTCTGTTATTCACAGGTCACTGATATACTGCCCTTTTCTCGTCTGGCTGCGTCGATGTAATGTAGATTTGATTCATTGCTTAAGGGAATTCACTGTTAACACAAAGGTGTCTTTTAAGCGTATTCGAATTCGTCATCTCCGGCGTTCAAAGCCGACCTCTTAGACATTGTGCCGCTACGCCACCGTTCCTCTGCAAAGTAACGACAAGGGTTCATTTCGAGACTGGTTATCGTTTATCGCTCACAAGTTTCGAACGCTGGCGTACTCTCTGCTTCAGTAGCAGTAATGACAAGCATGTAGTTTCGTAATTTTGATACTGCGGTTTTAGAATACGACGATGTTTTTACTGACGGTCACATTTCTATTAGTAACAAGTAGTTCCTTGTGAAAGCACGCGAACTGATGACATTCGAATTTCGTGGATTGAGAGTGTTACATGAAATACGGTGCACTGTGGTAATACTGCACGTTGCCACGGAGATTTTTTTAAATAAAGTCTGGTCACTGCTTTGAACTGAACATTTCTTCAAATCGAGTAATAAATGCGATCTTTACTTTTTGAGTAATAAAATCTAGAGAAATGATAGTGAACTTCCTTGATGCTGAAGAAACTTAAAACAATAATTCTGAAGTAACTCTTTGGATTCGTTTTGTTTATCTCCGTAGCTTTTTTGATCTCAAGCATAAAACTTCCGTCAATCTGTGATTCGTTTGAGACATTCGAAACGCGGAAGTCAACTACATTGCACCTGTTCAAGAGTTAAATACTTCATCCCACATCTGTCAAAAATATTTGGCACCAGTGATCGAAACGCCCTGGTTAGGCGTCAGATGGCTCTGCAGAGCGATTGAGCCAGTCGATGGTCCCTCTTGCTGTTGGAAAAGACTCGTGAATTCCCGTAGATGGAATTGGCCTGAAAATGGACTGCCACATTGATCTGAGTGTCACTATTTTTGTATAAAACGCAGCATTGTTCTATAAGCTTTTCCGTTATCTTTCTGTTGTCATCGCATTCTTAACTTTTTGAAATTTGAAGTGTTCTGTGCAGCAGGCATCAGACAGCACTGCCGTATGTCTTGCATTCTCTGGCATGATCACACCAAAATGATATACCGTTCCAATTCTTCGCCAGTCATAAACCTCCCGCTCTCTGTTTCTCGATTAGTTGCACAGTGGGATGAACTCGTTGCTCAGATGATTCAGCATTTAATGAGAAAATTTGTCTATGCATTTGAACCGGGCATCTGAAAACTAAACAACCTACTTGTTCACCGCGCCATTGCTCCATGCAATAAGTATCGTATCGTATCAATAAGATTCTGATCGTATCCTTTTAGACATACTTTAGAAGTCAGTTTTAAACTGAACGTTGCTCGCAGATCGCTGCTGACAAAACTCTCGTGTACGTGGCCTGTCAGATCAGTTCTGTGCTGTACAACACAAAGACTGTTGTTCTAACGAAAAGCCCAGCACGACGGTTCAGAAGCGATGAGTCATGAAAGTTAATTGACAGCGTCCTGTAAGAAATGATTTCATCTCTGAGTAGAGCTATTCTCCGAAGAACTGAAGAGTAGTAAATTGGGATTGATCCTGTTTGACGAACGAATTGACGATGAACCATTCTTCTTAGTCCGCGAGTTTCTCATATGGGGGTCAAGAGATGCAGATGTAGACAGGGAGGCCAGCTGGCAGCATGAACGAACTGTGCATAAGCAGATATGCGTTCAGAGTAGAACTGATCTTGCAGAGTTACTGTAATTGGTGCTGTATAGGCTGGCAGAAGTTTTCAAAGGCTGAGAATGAACGGACATTACAGGTGGGGGATGCTCTGCCATTGCAGATGACTCGTTGGTCAGCGTTGCTGATATTTTAGCTACCCTATGGATCCTCATAAAGCTGATGATTCGCTCACTGAAATGTTTTATCATGATTGCTGAAGGTCCGTTCTGGCATATTTCGTCGAACACCTTTTACATTCAGTCAGGCTGTGCAATAAGTGTTGCTATCAGCATACGTGTTTCCATACACAACAATACTCCATAGTCATTCAAGGCTATAAAATATGTATGCACGGAAGATTAATGACAGGTCAGACTTGTAATTAGCACAGCAGTTTGTCCATTTTGGACAGTGGTGAAACCTTTTCTGGTAAGGAAAACGAATAGAACGAATAAAGAAGAGACGTGAATCTGATTACGCTGACTTTCACCTGCAGTTTTTGAACATTTTAAATTCGCTTTTGTCTAAACTAATTTAAATTTGCCTCGTTACAATGAGAGTCGAGGTTTTATCAGCCACATTTTACAATTTATTTAGCTGTTTCATAATTACTGAATGCATGCTGAACCTTCATTACCTTTTTATTTGAGCTTCGCTATTTACAAAATTTTAATGAAGTGTTGCAGTTTCTACGGCACTATCATGAACTTTTTTCTATAATTTTAACGTTCTACAAATTTTTCAACTGTTCTGTGACTTACAGGCTAAAACATTGGTTCGACATTGTTTCTTTTACAAGTGACGTGGTTTTGCGTCCACTTATAGGAACTCGCTCGTATTCTTCGACACGTTACGACAGTTCTTTGCACCTCCTGACTAAAAAGTTCATCGCGCTGTTTGACCATTCGAAAGATAAGGTAAGGGCATGAATAACACAGTGTCGCATGGCTCGGTCCAAACTGTCGGTCGTTGTTGTCGTTCAGGTGGTGGATCTGAACGTTGCAGCTTACACGCTGCGTGTGCCGAAGCGTCGCATCTACGACATTACAAACGTGCTTGAGGGTATCAGCTTGATCTCGAAGATTGAGAAAAGCAAGTGCATGTGGCGCGATCACACGCCATGCGACGACGTCGTGGTTTCATCTGCTGAACAGTTTCCAGGTAGCACTTTATGATGGTTACATAGCGTCTCACGCTTCGCAGCTAGATTGTGCACATGGCGACGACTACTGTCCATCCGTTTCCGAGAGGACATTAGACGTGCTGCTCAGGGAAGTGGAGGAGATTTTTTTTCGGGCGTTCAACTGCACTGACTTCTCCAGGTAACCGGATGGCGGTTAGTGCCGCTGCTTCTGCGGGCGTCGCTTGCGATCGCGTTTTAGGTATGCGTATGTTCGTTACGACGACCTGGCGGTGATGGACAATGAATACGCTGACGAAAACTTCATTATTCTTAAGGCTCCGGCCAATGCCGTGTTAGAAGTGCCGGTGCCGATTGCACCCTCGGGAAAACCCTCAGTATGGTCGGCCGCCATTACGCATCACTGAATTCCGCTTCGTTGTAGGTTTTCGAGATGATCATCCGTAGCAACAGTAATGTGCCTGTTGAAGTTATTGCATGCACCGACGGCAAGTTCTGCCATGTTCAAGATTTCCGAAAGTTGCGCGATCGCGTGCACCCTTCCGACTGTGCGTCCACCTCCGTTCAAAGTAAGTTTTGCTCTGAATATCCAATAACCATTAGCGACAGCTTTTTTCCGCGTTGTTAATTATACCGTAGAACCACTTTAACATATTTTAATTATGCACAGCGCAAACACGAGATTTGCCGAATTATATGCCACTATCGTCAGTCTGATGTATTCGGCGCACTTTTATCAATGTATAGCTGATGGTTTTCTGTTATTGTTGTTGTCGAACGACGGTACCAATATCACCCGGCAGTTGCCATTTTTACTCTGAATAAGATCAATCAGATACGATCCGAGACATCGGTAGTGGTCTATCATCAGTCGGTTATACCAGATATTTGTGCTGTGTGCAAACAAACTGTGTTTGGGTTGCTTTGCTACACCTCGAAGCTCCACATATTGTTTTAAAACGGGTGATAGCGAAACGCTGATGCCCTCGGTAGGATTTCTGATCCGCACTTAAATGCACGTTTATTTTACTTCTGATGGCATAGATCTCCAGCACGGTGATCGCTCTTATGAAATTGCTGCATCTTGTTGCATATTCCGTCACAGAATTGTCGTCTGCATTGATAACGCGTTGTCAGTGTTAGAACCGTTGCACTACTTAACTGTATCTTCTGTTGATGCCGGCACACCGCTGTTCCATAATCGCGCGCCTCTTCCAGCAAACTCTTCTGCCCCTGGTCAGTCTTGGGGATATCATCGAGAAGGTGATGAACGCTCAATTGCTCATAATTAGAGCCTCTTCGAGATAGTTGATACCACGCGCTCATCAGGAACGATGTTTCGGGAGCTTGTACTCATCATATGCTACCGGATACACATCATAGGTTATTGTGTGCTGGATTTCTCGGACAAAATGATACGAAAGGCATCTGAAACTGCAGGTATTTAATACCGCGGACCCCTAGCTTCCTTGAATGTTTCCCTAGGCAACCATAAGCAAGGTGGCGGTGCAGTGCGCCGTGAAATCTGGTCTTAGACGATTGATTCATTATTTGATGTACTCTCTCTTACGAACAACTTATCGGCAGAACACGGTGCTTGCCATTTGATTTTCTGGTTCTTTTTAGAGCCACTCTTCCCATCGTAGGCTTCTTTTGCAGCGAAGGTGCAAGCAACATGGTGGTGATCACCTGACAGTTCTGCGCCTCTCCTAACCTGAATGTTCATTACAGAGCGTAGATTACCAAATCGACATCTGTACACAAGCTATTTTATGCTAGGTATACTTACGCATGAAGGTGTTCATAACAGACAATTCATTATTTACCCAAAAGTTTCAAAGACTGCAGTGTGTTCATGTTAAAGTCGCCAAGACTGTTCCTTCCGATCACGCCTTTCCACTTTTCAGTGTTCGCTCCGACACGTTCATTGAAATCGCTTACCAAAATGATGGATTCTACAGTCGATGCGTCATTCTTAGCTCCTTCTATTTCCTCCAGGAAACACGCATCCTATCCCTCTGAATCAGGTGCATAGCCTTGTTATAAGGCTAAGGTTTTCGCCTGTTATAGCCTAAGTTTCAGGATTCACGCTCTTTCGCTGACAGGCTTCTGTTCAATGATTTTGTCAGCGAGGTTCGGTACTACCAGAACGCCAGTACCAGCCTGTGAACAACTGGATGGAAAACCTTCCACCTACAGACGTTCAGAATTTCATAGCCCTAGCGTGTCAGTAACGAGAGTTAAATTCGGTACCTTGCGGCCTCATCAACTAACTCCTACTCATTTTCGCGGAGTTAGCAGATGCTTCGATTACTGACTGAAATCCTAGTGTTGGTAGCAACTTCGTTGCTGACTGGTTTCGTCACCTTGGTGTACATCTTTAGCAGATGTCATCGTGTTACTACGTCTCCAGTTGCAAAATGGCGTGAAGCACGTTCTCACTGCCAACTTTTCAGTGTGCCTCAGTTCTTCAAAATTAACCCTTCGCAGCCTTTGGTAACCAGCGCGATCACAGGCTGTATAACTTTCAGTGGTCTCGTTACCCTTCGGGGAGAGGTGGCTTAATTAGGGAAACTTTGCGACAGTTGTCAGCCTTCCTCCTTGCTCAACCGGAATTGGAACGAACAGCGGTGGAATTGTATTCGACTGCATCTGTAAATTTTCAGCCTTGTAAGTGACGAGTGAAATGTTGTTTTAAGGTTTATAAAAGTGACATTGTTCTGTAATTTTCGTTCAGTAGTTGGACAAGTGATGCACACCTGCGAATAACTGCAAGTGTATCTGTGCCTAAGATTCACTGACTGATGGAAAGCGCATGCTTCTGTCTTCATGCTTCGTTTTGCAAAAATCGGTTTCTTGAATCTTGTTCAAGCATGTACGGCAATGTGGTTAACTGTACTTTGCCAAACACAAATTCTACAATTATTCTGATTGGTGATGCTCAGCGACCCCATTTGTGCAAAATGAAGTGCCTGTATTTTAAGTTTAGGTATGAAACCTAGGTTGGTGGTACCCTTTGCCCCTCTATATTCGCTGTGTTTCGAGAAGAAAATTAGTTGCTATATCTAGCCAAATCTTTCGCTTAGCAACGGTTCCTGCGCGTAGATCTGTAGCGCACTAACTTCTTTTCTCTAGTCATGTTCATCTAACACTAATATAGTGTCTAGAATTGCATCCAACTCGTGTGTAACCATGTCCAATATGTAAAATGGGCATTGTTCGTTTCTGAGGTCAGAATCATATTCATTATTCATTAACAGAGATGTGACCAGAGAAGCAGTTTTTGCGATTTGTAGTTCCTTCATCATTCTGCAGCCATTGAACGATTCCAGCAGAAGTAAATATTTGAAGATTTCCATTCTCGTTTTGAGTGATTTTCTCAGGCTCATAATAAGCTACGGCGGTTTGTTTACACGCAGTTATATCCCCGTACTTTTAAAATACTTGCCAGACGTCGTTGGAAGTTGCCGAGATCAGTTTCGTGGGTTACTTCCAGTGTGCTGATTGCCGTCTATTTCTGTTGTCTAATTTTTTTCATACTTCACATGGCTAAAATTTGCTTATGTCAGTCCAACACACCGATTCACCGTAGGATCAACGCCTCTGCCACTGGCAAATAGTTAAGACAGTTGAAATAGTTCACTTTTTCTGTCGCTGCGCCATGTCTTAGCGTGCTCCGGTTGTCATTTGAAACGGGCATTCTTGCAGTGTTCATCTTCTTTGACTTTGACCGTGCCCCATGCCATAGTGTTCACACTTTCAGTCAGTGCCAGCGGGTTTTTCGAGACTCATTCAGCAGAACGACGCCATTTGCGTACTGAAGGACCATCAGAAGTTGTATGGTATTTTGAGCATCACCGATTGAATTATCGCGTAGCTGTCAGTGATGGCTTATCGTTGTCCTTTGGGACGACGCTCTTCTAGAGGATAGTCCACTGTACTTCTATCATAGGTTCACTATTACGTGTGGAATTATGCGATAATGAATCACACCATTTTATGATAAACTGAATTGAAAGCCAAGTAGAATTTCAAAAAAGCCGTATGCTAGGGCAAATGGAAGATAATCTCTTTCAGCACGCTATTATCTGTGTACGAGTGTCCTGTCTGAAATCCTGCCGATTGTATTTGTAACTAATAATCAGTGACCTTCTTGAGTCTTCCAAAGATCATCCGTCTGAAAATATTCTCCAGCACAAGCAGGAAGGCGACTGGTTGGTATAATCAGCGCCATTTTCGCAATTTAAGATCTAGAAAACAACACCAAACGAGTTTTATTAAGCACTGCGCAATAGCGGTCAAGCAGGTGACCGACGTTTCGACCCGCATCTCACGAGCCTTCTTCAGTATGCGTCTGGAGGTGAAGTTGAGCTGTTGTTTCTATCATGTGCAACAGACTGTTGTTTGGAACCGAGAGGCTTATTGAGGACTGGGATAATAAATACTTTTTGTAGTCTTGATTATCTGACTTCCACGAGATAGTTTCGAAAGCCTGAAGGATGTAACTGAAAGCCTGTTTACTTCATAAGTCCCACTTCATTTAACCATCCTTCGACATGCCGGGGTACATATGTTTGCTGAATCAACACTAATCCGATTCCTGGGCAGGGATTTTGAAGGTACCACGAAAGGTCAAAGTGGAACGGACCGACGGTTTGCACCGAAAGAACACGAACACTTAGGCCCTACTATTCTGCATCGCTGTTTTGCTAACTGACCGTTTCTGCATTCATAAGCAGCACGATGTCGTAGATGTGATTGAGGAGAGTGCCTTGTATTATACTTTGCCTGCCACGGTATGCAATATATGGTTCATTGTCTGTCGTCCACGTCGTAGTTGTTGAAGGTAGAATGTCATTACATACAATGATATGGTCTTTTAGTTAAGCGAAGATGCACTGCTTGCTAATGCAGAAGATGCACATTTACCTCAAAAGCTACTGCGTTGCGTTCGAGGATAAACTTTAGATATAGTGAGAGTTCGTACGGACTGATACAGCTTTGCTTCGAAAACCCAAAGGATGTAGCACGAAATAATAAATCAAAAATGAAACAGTTAATGCGCAGACTAACAAACTTACATCCGCTTCTAAGGCTTCACAACTGCTATGTTATAAGTTTTTGGGCTTTGTGCCTTGTTTCGTTTCCGATTTATCGGTGTTACTTTATTTAGGTGATATCGCATGTGACAGCATGAAGAAATGTGGACAGTCACCCGAAGCTAAAGATCACTGCTGCACACCTGCCCTAAATGAATTTTGTACACAAGACGGAATAGCGACCTACTGCGTGCTGGAACCATGTTCTGAATTCAACGACTACCTGTTTGCTTTGGAACCAAGCGAAGGCATTTCAGATCTATATAATTTTCCTCATGATGAATGAGGCAGCGTGTATGCATCGTTGGACTGGCGATCGGAATGGAGATATGGTACTCCGAGATCAGCAGTTGTCTGTCAATTTAAAATGGCCGATTTTTATCTTTGACACGGGTTTTGAAAAATGAAACTTGTTTCCACTTTCACTGGGGTTCATCTGCCAATTTGTTTAAAGTTTGATTTACGTTTGCGTAATATTTGGCGTTTTTTTTGTTTTATTTCTCGTTTTCCTCAAATTTACAAATTATGAAATTTCTCATTCTGGTGAGGTAGTCTTATTAATGGTTGTTATTGCTATACATTTTATTTGCGTTACCTGAGAACATCATTTTGTAACAACAGATATAATAAAGTACACTAATTTTTTAACCGTGGCGATAACTATGTTTCAGCCTGCCTTTGTTATGAATCAAGTCGTCAAGTCGTTGAATTCAGCTGCTGCAATACCGTTCTATCGTATCTCAACAATTACAATTATTGTTAGAAGTCACTCGATGAAAAATTTCGTTTGGAAACGTTCAATGCAGAAGCGGTCAACGAAAAAAAAATGGAACTACTTCATGACTTTTTGCAGCAAAAACTTCATGACTACTACAGATATATGCAATGAACTTTGTTCAGAACATCCTCTAAAAACACACTGCCCTTAAACGGCCAAAAACAAAGGGGTCCGAGCCGAAGAGGACAAGAAAACACCGCTGCTTAACAAGGTAAGCAGTTCAGGTACCTTAATGAAATGTTGATTAGCTGAAACTGTGATAATGGGTTAGACAGGTATGCGTTGGTTCACTTCTTATACCTTCTGCATATCTGGGCAGTCGAGATTAAGGCGATTATTATAAACATCGACCTGTTTCTAACTATCCTTAGTCATGATGACCGGAGAGCCGCTATTTTAATAAAGAGAAGAAGTACAGATTCAGCAACTGCTGAAATGCTACGATACACGATAAAAAGATGTAGTAAAACGGACTTTGCAATCGTTAAGATGTTGGCTTTCTTTACATTAGTTATGATAGCCATTTTTAGTAGTACACTTTTTTTTACAATGACTTCAAGTGGCGCTGGTATCCTTTCGATGTCGTCAGTCACAAGTACCATACATTACGATGGCAGTTATCTGCAATTATGTGGTCGTACAGTGTTTCGTCTCTTGTCATTTCACGCCGAGTACCAATGCATGAAACAATGAAAGGAAAGGAAAGCTGAATGACCCTTGATCAACATACCAGCCCATGACCTTTCACTTATCCATTAGGTCAAAAATTAGGCTTTCGAATACAATGGAGGATGATAAGGAAAGGTAGGTAAAGACGTCGGAAACGGCCCTTAGCGTTAGCCAACTTCACCAACATTTAAGAGTTGGAGGAAATGCATTAGAATTTTCGAGGAAACCTTTACTTCATCAAACCCAGC